CTCCATCATACCTCATTACTACAAACTCCACAAACATCCTTGCATCTTGCTGTCTCAATATAACCATAGCTGTTTATTCACCATATTCATTTTGGAATGCAACAAATATAGTTGGTGAAAACGTCTCTGCTACATGCACAAGCATAGGTGTTTGCCTTAACCCTACCATGGGGAGCTTTTGCCTCATTTCATATTCTGCGATGAGTTCATTATATCTCTTTTCATCAATCACCCGATTGAAATGTCTAAAGAACTGCACAAGATCGTGATCTAGTTTCAAATGATTTTTAATTGCTGCATTTAGCTTTTCGCTAAATTGGGTGTTTCGCATTCCCGCGGTCCATCTTTCTTTCATCATGTACCTTACTTATTTATCACGAATTCGATACAGTCCGGAAAGCCATTCATTATTTTCAAGATTGTATTTCTTCACCATCGCCTCCCATACCCTATTGAATTGTTTCACTTCTTCAATCTCATACATGCAGGCACCAAACATGTATAGAAGGTCACTATTTTCCTTGTAGTGATTGCCAAGATGTTTCATAAAATTACACCTTATGTGAAACATACATAAATCGTGAAACGTTTGGGGCATGGCAAGTAAAAGAGCGGCTACCATGGCGTGATCTTGGTCGGTTAGTATGGTACTTGGACGCTTTCCACACATTGCTTCTAGAAATGTACCAAACACCCATTTGAAAGAATCTATCGTCTCATCATACATAAGAGCAGCACCGAATATCAAAATTTACCTATGTTGGTAAAAACCCACAAATACTTTAAGTGGCCGGTATTCTTTATTTGTTTTGTAGTTTGTGTCGAATGTGACTACGTCTCTAAAAAAGTTGTAGTCAATTAACATTCCTGCATTAGCCCAAAAGATATTCGTTATGTGTTCTTTACAGTCCAACTGTATGTTACATACTTTTCCATATTTTAAACTCCTTTCTCGTCTCATTCGAAGATATCGTTTAAGATCATTCCGAGTATATCCCACATTACCCACTCCATCTGCCTCCTTTCCCATCAGCTCATGACTCTGTTTCAATGAAAGCACAGCATCCTCGCTTATTTCAGTTTGGAATTCTTGAGTCTCACTCACTTTTCTTTATGATGGCATCATGTGCGAACATTGAGCAATGTGCAACTCATGGTTTTACTGTGAGACAAGGTCATGGATATGGTGCTTCATTGTCCCTCTAAGCAACACGATAACCATTTTAGCTCCATGATAACCTTGTTTTCGTCGGCACTTGTGTCCTCTTTGGCATCACATCACCTTCGTACTTGTGCTTCACACCTTTCTTGCAGCAATTATATCTCCCAGACGTGGTCACGCCATTTTTGTCTTTATTTAGATAGTTTTTATATACACTAAAACCCATTTCAAAGGCATATTTATTGTAAAACTTGTATACATCCTTTTCATTGTTGAACTCCATTCCTAACTCAGGGGTTCCATCTTCTGCCAATTTGTTGCAATTCATTACTTCTGCTCCTACCAATTATGCATTAAATACCCTAATTTGTAACATTTCATGAATAGTATGTACATAAACGACAGCATAAATGTATATTACCATTCACAATATGTTATGAATCACACATTACTCGTATACAAAATCTTATTGTTGCGCTTATCAATATGATTAATGATTCACATCACTTTACTTTTACTCTAAGACAACGGCATTATCTATGTACAAATACAACTCCATGTACACTAAGTTATATGGATTGTAATGTGTTGATCACACGATGTAAGTCTGTTTTAACTGTATGTACATCCACTCTGGTGATTATATTTACGTTCTAGGTTCCTTAGCTCACTGGACCTTATGTCATTCGTTAATGACAACCGCCTAAGCCAACTCCGCATTTTCTACTATTTCTACATTTTGAGGGCCAAACAAACATTTTCTACTCATTGTAATATATTTCTTATATCATGTAATTTATTTATAACACCAAGTACACCCATTTATTATTCACATCTATTTGCCTCTTTTCCTCTGCTTCACCTCATTCAACTTTACACCTCCATTTTATACACACTGCATGGTCAGGAAAGGGGCAAACTAAGATTGCGTGATGAGCATGGACCAACTACTAGATGCACAATGATTCATACCAATTGTAATGTGGTGGCTATAACCTGTAACTTATAGACAACAGGATTTACATTCATTCACTTGTTAAATGTGACTTTGTTTCTCTCATCTTTCTCTAATTTCGCTCGACGCTTTACTTCAATACATACCCCTAGGTCTTCGGATAACTACTATCCTATTATAGTCCATCATTAAAAAGCTGAATGCTCAACACACACACATACGGTACAACTTCACTATTCTTCACAACCAATATTATGTTTTTAGTGACTCTAATTTCATCATTCATTTAACCGATGTGCATTGGGTGACAAATGATTGGTCACCGTTGCTGATATGGTTCAATCACGTTACCTTGGTCTGCTAATACGCTTTATGTTTCACCGAACTCGGAGAGCGCAGTTGCTTCTGCTATTAAGTTGCACGACTGAACCAAGTTCATCAGATTCCTCTGTTTGCTTCTACCTTGCCACCTGCCTTGCACACATTCAAAATGGATACAACACTCTCATACCCAGTTTCAAAATGTATACAACACTCTCACTGCACTATTTGCTTCTTTTTTTGGAACGCCATCTTTTTTTACCTCTACTTAAGGCTTCCTGATGTGGGTCATTTCTCGCCTCACGTTTGTGCTTGTGAGGAGACCGTTCAGGAGCGCGGTCTGATGACCGCTCCTGCCCCTAATCCCAATAAGACCGCTCCTGCCCCTAATCCCAATAAGTACAGGCTATCTTTGTAAGTTCAGATCCATCTGAGTAATAGCTGCAACAAATCTGTTTGGATCCTTCAATTTTTCAAAAATTAGTTTTTCAAATATTATAAAATTTTTTTAAAAATACTCTCAAAGATACTCTAAAAAGTAGGATAAATTTTTTTAGTGTTTAAAAACTAATCCTAAAATATATTTTAAAAACTCTACTACTCTTAAATAGTCCAAAATATTTTCTAAAAATATTCCAAAATATATTTTAAAAACTTTGTTACAATAAAAATTTTCAAAAACACTCCAAAAAATAACTAATTCAAATGGTAAATAAAAGTTGTACTCACTTACCAAAAGATATTGTATCTCAAGCTTTTCCAAGGGTTTTGGCATTAGATCTTAAAAGTTTAAGCAAATGGAATAGGCATCCGCCATCGGTGCCTATAGAATTACATCAGTAATATTTCAATTCTGATCATAGAAAATAATAGATTGCTTGCAAATGCATCTAAAGATCAGAAATAAAAAATTTAGAGGTAGTCACATAACAGATCAAGATATTACAAATGGATGTAACTAAATTGGAAGCAAGTATAAGAAGATCAAAGACAATTCAACATGAGTTAAGAAAATATTAGAGCTAGGAATACACATGATAAGGAAAAGATATTTTTCTAAAATTCTCAAGCTAAAATGTTGACATAAATGGTCAGAAGCATTCATGGAAAGGCAAGAGAGGAGGTGAAGTATAATATGATAAGAGAGAAGAGCGTACCCACTTATTGCACGACATAAATAACAAAATCCATTCGTCAACATTGTTCAGGATTCCTCGTAGCAGAGGGAAAGGTAGACAACAAAAAGTAAGGGGTGGTGGGTTAGAGCATTAGCAAGTAAACTTCAAAACAAAGACCAGTAGTCAGAACAGACAAGTTAGAACGTTAGCAATCAGAACAGCAGCAACAAATAAAAGGCCAATAAAAGTATAATTGTCCATTATGCATACAGATCATTGTCTCTATCAATAAGGATACACTTATTCTCTTGCAATCACGTACAGATACAACTATACAAATTAAACAAAAAGAACAATCAAGGTATGACTATTAGCTATAACAAAGCTTTTTTCCTAAAACTTTTTCAGCCATTTAACATGTTCATGACTACTGGTCTCCCATGCATTCCTCTTTATAATAATTCGACTCCAATTCAGTAAACCTAAGCCTTTCCTTTTCTTCTTCCTGCTCGTATCTTGAACAAGAGTAGTTCACCAAAGCAGTGACAAATGCAGACAACCGAATCACATATTCCAAATCAAATAATCGGCACTTATATTTTTACTGCTTTATACGAAATTCATCTTGGAATAACAAACTTATTACCGTTGTATCAAGAATAAATTCCAAAGCGATTGGAAGTTTGTTCAAAATTAATTTGAGTAAGCCCTTCCCAACCTCAGTGCCACTACCAACCACAATGTTACCGCCAACCTCACTACCAACACGTTTAGTGTTACCGCCAACCTTGCCACCAACAAGCTTAGTGTTACCGCCAACCATTACCCACATCCCTAAAACTTTTTGTCCCAGCCTTTACAAAACAAACAAAACTAATTAATTTGAATTTAATAAATTTTCTACACTACAATAATCTTAGATACCAACCAAAAGAACATTGAGTCCAAGCAGGATAACTAGCACCCCACCATTGAATGAGTGAAAGCCTTATCCTTAAGTTTAGAATGTCTGATCTTTGCTAAGATATAATCATGTTCAAGCTTCTTCCACTTCAAATCTCTTCTCATCCCCTTGTTGCCCACAATGCCCAGAGCTATACAGTCAAAAACGAAAACAAAAACGAAATTAAGCTATTGATTTCCAAAATAGGTAGTGCACAAAATATTACAAAAAAGTTAAATTTTAACTAACTAACCACAAATTGGTTCTAAAGTGGAACACATGCCAATAGTTGATTGACAAGAAGACCTCAGAAATCCTTCAAACAAAATATCAACAACAAAAGCCAAATAAAATTTGATTGCAAAGCATTTGGCTCTCAATATAGTAGAGCACAAAAAAAAACCGACCAAGATTGATACCAGAGTCCATCCTCTTGGGGAAGAGGTGATTAGATGAAAGACCCTTGCATATGGACCCCCAGAAAATGAAGGCGATTGTAGAATGGACGGCACCGACATCGCCCACGGAACTACGGTCGTTTCTTGGGTTAGTTAATTATTATCGACGGTTCATTGCGGGACATTTGGCCATCGCTGCTTTGTTAACCGACTTGCTCTGCAAGGGCAAGACGTGAACGTGGACGATAGATTGTCAGGCAGTGTTTGAGGCACTAAAGGATGCGGTGACGAAAGAGCCGGGCTTGCCACTGGACGATTTTGCTAAGCCATTTGAGGTGTACGTCAATGCATCCGACATAGTTGTTGGAGGTGTTTTAATGCAAGACGACCATCCGATTGCTTTGGCCAATATGGCCATTGTACAAATTACATTTTGATCAATAAAAGATGAGTGTTTGCTAAAAAAAAACAATTCTTTCTTTCACATTAATTTTTTCTCCATTTGGTTGCAATGGGATTGTTTGAAATTTTTCTCCAATTGGCTATAATAGAGTTGTTTCTTCTCTATGACTTCATTTCCTCTTGATCTTTTTGTTCAATTTGTGATTTAAGAAGAGAGTAATGGTGGCTAAAATTTTCTTAGTTTGTTTAAAGAAAAGGAGAAAGTGAATTAAAATATGATCTTATATTTTTTTCTTACTAATGAGCATGTTCTGGTCAAGTGATGATGTTCCATTCAAATTGCTTGATAACCCATCATTGTCCTCAATTAGTCAAATTTATGAAAATATGAGGATGAAACGTGTTTGCATTAAACTCTAGGGACAAAATTGTTCGAAATTATAAAATTAAGAGGATGAAATGTGTTTTGACTAAAATTTTAGGGACAAAATTGTCCCACATACTAAACAATGGGGATGAGAAGTGTATTTTTCCCTTTTCAAAAATTTGGTGGAGTCAAAGAATGGAGGCTTGAGAGGAAACTAAGGGGAGGAAAGAATATGAGACTAGGGCTTATATATCTATATATATATATATATATATATATATATATTAGTATCTTTTCAGCAAGGGAAGATAGCAGAGTGGGATTTGAACTTAGAACTGTTGATTCTTGGAGCTCAATTTTAATCACTAGATCAAGGCATTCTTGGCAAGAATAGCGCTAATATCTTTCGGAAAGAAATTTAAGTAATTTGCTTCTAACAGGCTTGTTATATTTACTGAGAGAATAAACCTAAGTGCAATAAAAAAATTAGTATTTTTTTCCTTATATCTTGCTTTATAACCCTTGAACTTCATTATCAAATAGCAAGTTACAGGTGATATTCATTGGGTCAAGAGCATCCCCTCCAGTAAAAGCTTCCACAACCGGTTGATCAAAATGAGGATCCCAAATTGCATGAGCAATAGATCTTACATGTAAAGGAACTTGTACCCATGGCTCAAGATTTCTTTATCAAGTTACATGAAATAAATTTTCTGAAGTCCATAGAAAAATTATTGCTAATTGACCAAAGTGAGAAGCAAAAATATTCTAATAAAAACATTCTTCAGTAATCATGATGACTCTCGAAGTCATATGCGGTAGCAATACCAAACCAAATAAGACAAGTAGTGGGGTCCTGAGCTAAGCTTTGGCTAAAGTTTGGAAATCTTAATGCCATAATGCCTTCCAAATCCCCCTAGCCATTATCCTACTAAAATAATTCTTGCTAAGAAGACTGCCCATTTTGTGGCAATTCCAACCTGAAGATAATGGGTTACTCCTATAGCACATCCTTGTACAATGCTCAAGGCTCTCAGCTGAGATTTGGAGTTCATTTATCAACAGATTTTTTCTTCCATTTGAACTCGTTTCAATAATTTTTTTTAGATGCTTTAATAGGTGCAATTGCTATAGCTCATCAATAATCAATAATAAAAAATTCAAGTATGAAATATTTGTTAAATGTGATTCAATCAAATCGATTGCATTGTTGTTTAGATTGAAATTATAATTTTAAAATTACATTCACTAGATAGAGTTAAAAAGAATGCATTGGCTTGAATGTGAAGACCTCTTCTTCAATATCTTGCACCAAATCTCCCTTTTTTGAACAATTTTAAACTCCATAATAGATTTTGAATTTTCTACCCATTATTATTGTTGTAGAACTTCTTGCGTACAATCAGAATTGCAGACATCCTTTAACACCATTCTTTTTTGTGTCCCCTCTTCTTGCAGTCTTCAAGGAGGCTAATGCAAGTCCTGCACACCATAACGCTCACCATGTAGCAGTTAGATGGTTTACTTGTAAGGAATCATAGAGACATGCATAGTGGAAATTTTAAAAATTTTGATTCCTTTAATGGATTGACCATTGATTAAATTCATCTGACAGAGAATTGTTTAAGAAGATTGACACAACCCATGAAGATCTTCTTGAAATCGGCGGAGACCTGACACAAATGGTAAAATGGTCCACATAGCCGCACAAGTATCCAATCTCTAAGGTGATCCACACGAACCTTATTAACTAGAACCTCCACGGTCAAATTAGTTTAAACTAGATTAGTGCTACCTATTGCCAAGACATGCCCCACACTTTGGTTGAAAAAATTCCTAATTTTCACCATGAAAAACTTGCTCGAATAAGAGAAATAAGAGATGTGATTTTTTCCTTATTTTCTTGGATGAATTTTGGGTTTTTTTCTCTCATGATTTTTCCCAAAAATCTCACAAGACAATTTGTATGTCGATTAGTCTTGCTAGCAAAAGTTTAGTGAGTATAGACAAATACGTTTTCCATATTCTTATGATTCAGAAACTAGTTTTCGATAAGATTCAACTTCTTTATTCTAATACAAGACTTGTATTTGGAAGACTTAAACTTATTTGACTATTAAGTCTCTCAAATTTAAATTGCCTCACAAACTAAACTATAAGTTATAAAACTTATCTTTCAAATCCACACTTAAAATTTCATTTAATCCAACAAAAGAAGTTTTTAATTGTGTGACCTATTAGATTCTCATATACGTTTGCAATAAGTATGAGCTATAATTCTTAATAAATAAGAATTAGATACATTAAAACTCCTTTTAATTTATCATTGGTTCCTCTAATCAATCAACTCATACTTATAGATCAAGATTCACATCTAACAATGCATCATGACCACTCAAATAATGAAAAAAGTCAAGTGGATGACTGCACCTTTCAATGAATGTTTACCACACTTATTTCACATTAATCTTGGAATAAGTTATGTCTATTCCATTATGTAAATAATGTTCATTTCTTGTACCAAAATATAACTCCAATGAAGACGTACTTAGAAACACTTTCTAAGAATCTTCCACTTAGTGCTAAGAATTACGAGTTATACTTCTACAAGTGGTCAGACATGAGATAACTTCTCTTTCATACGAGGTGGTAAATCCTTATAGGTTAGTCACTACTTTTCGATACTTCAAGTATATACCCATTTGTTAATGATTTGAGCATTCTTTGTTACGAGAGCAATCATATAACAAACAAAGTATAGCCGTCTGTACTCAAGATACTATGATAACCTTAAATCTAAGGATCATTTACACAAATGTCTCTTAGAGATTAATCCTTTGGCAATTAAAGAAATAACTCTATGCGAATCAATCTAGTGAACTTGATCATTCTATGAAGTACTCATATGCTTAGTTTAGGTGTCTCACGTACTATAATAGATGAGGTCTACTGATTTTCATATAGAAGGGGCATAGTATATGCTAGTGTAACTATATTAACAATGCCCTTTTTTGTTAATATTTTGACTAGAGATACTTAAGAATAAACCTTATCTACAATCGAATGAATCTCACCATCATAACTCTTATGATTTCATCGATTATATTTACTCTAAGGGATTTATTATACTTATATAAATACATGCAGTCAATATGATAAAGATGTCATTTATTATAACATAAATAGTTCAAGTTTATATTAAAGCCCGAGTTGCGAGGAGCATCTGGTCACATTGTTTCCGCCAAGGTCACGATGTGGAGACTTGTCATGTTTTAAAGCCCGAGTTGCGAGGAGCATCTGGTCACCATACCAAGACTACTGGAACAACACAACTACGGTTGGCAGAGACGTCGAATACAGACATGCCTGATGGCCCTTTGGAGGGTAATGGAGAAAGGCCATCGGTATTGATACAAGATGCGGCAGTAATTGATGGGGCAAAGGGAGAAGTTAATGAGACTGTGACTGGCAAAGCGCTAGTTGCTCACGATCAGTTAATAGGTGGTACGCCTCACGAAGCTGAGCAAGGTGACCAGGTGCAGCAGTCCTGTGCTACTATACCAGCGCAGCAGGAGAGGAAAATGGAGGAGGATTATGGGACGGTGGCGGTAGAAGGTATCGAGGTGGTGCTGCCACATGACAAAGGAGAGGAACGTTCTGAAGATGTGGGGAGTGGGTTGCCCGCGAGGGTGGTCGTACGTTCTGCTGAGGGGCAAGTTGAAGACATACAAGATACTCAACGAAGGGTCGGTACCCTCTCCCCTAGGGGCAAGGATCTTATCCGACAAGAAGAGTCATCACTAGAGACCGGGCATATAGACACGGGGGGTACCCTGGAACTAGAAGAAGTTGTTCGTAAGGAGCGAATGGATGCAAGGTCGCGTGGTCTCCGGGTTGGTCTCCCGTCAGATAGAACACTACGCTCCATGGTTAGTTCTTCAACAAATTCTTTTTCTGTCCTTTCTGATGATTAAGTTACTTTTTTGGAATATAAGAGGGGTAGCTCGTGCTCCTAATTTAAGGCGGTTAAGGAAACTTATTAAATTGTATGATCTTCAATTGGTGGTTGTTGTTGAACCTAAGTTGAGGGTGGAGTCAATTACTGATATTAGAATTAAATTGGGGATGGATTGTTGCATGTTCAATCATTGGGGTTCTGTTTGGATTTTCTACCGGTCATTGTTTACGTGTCAGATTACAGGGGAGTCTCCCCAACATATAACTATTAGAGTACAATCTCATCTTTTCCAAGACTCCATTATTTTGTCTTGTATACACGCGAAGTGTACGCAGCAGGACAGAGAGGATTTGTGGAATGCACTTTTGCAGGATAAACCCGCCTTCAATCCTTGGTTTTTGGTGGGGGATTTCAATGTGGTCACAAATACAGAGGAGAAGAGGGGTGGATTGCCATTTAGACCGTCGGAGGGATCAGACTTTCTGAATTTTATGGCGCTAGCTGGTGTCAGTGATGCGGGATTCTCTGGGTCAAGGTTTACATGGTGTAATAATCGTTCGGGAACGGCGCGGATCTGGAAGCGTCTGGATCGCTTACTTCTGTGTGGGAGTGCAATGGAGCTACCGTACCAATTCATGGTGCAACATTTAGGCCGTGACCCGTCGGATCATGCTCCCTTGTTGCTATCGGTGGATACGAGGCTAGACAATAAACCCAAGCCGTTTCGTTTCTTAAACATCTGGACCACTCATCCTGATTTTCTGGGGGTTATCAAGGACTGTTGGGTTCATCCAGTCAATGGCTCTCCTTTGCAAGTATTGGCATCGAAGTTGAGGAATGTTAAAAATGCCCTCAAGCAGTGGTCTAGGACGACATTCGGGGATATTTTTGAAGGGGTACGTAGTGCAGAGCGTGTGGTAACCGAGTCTGAGACAGCATACGACCTCGATCCTACTGAGCAGCGACGGAGCGAGTTACATCATGCTCGGGCTCGATTGCGCCGAGCGCTTGTAGTTGAGGAGGGTTTTTGGAGACAAAAGGCGCGGGTTAAGTGGCTTTCGGACGGAGATAGGAACACCAAATATTTCCACTCCTTGGTTACGGAAAGGAGACGTAGGGCAGTAATTCATCGAGTCAGGGGTACTGCTGGAGAGTGGATCGAGGGGGAATGCCAAATTGGGGAGGCAGCGGTGGGTTTCTTTAAGGATCTTTTCACGGCAGAGGGGGATCTTCCCTCCCTTACCGGTCTGGAGATCATACCTAAACTGATAACAGACCAGGAAAACTCACGGTTAACGGACATTCCATCTCTTACAGAAGTTAAAGACATAGTCTTTGCTATGGATGGAGAGAGCGCAGCCGGCCCGGACGGGTTTACAGGGAAATTCTTTACCTTTGCTTGGGAGGTAGTGGCATCGGATTTATACCGGGCGGTTGTCAGCTTTTTCTGCGGTGCTGAACTACCTAGGAGTATCACGGCTACCTCAATTGTGTTGCTGCCAAAAGTGGAGAACCCCCAAGATTTTAAGCATTTTCGTCCAATCAGTCTGTGCAACTTTACTAACAAAATCATCTCCAAGCTGTTATCGGCAAGGTTGGCGATGATATTAACCCGGATTATATCTCCACAGCAAAGCGGGTTTGTCCAAGGGAGGCAGATTACAGATAATTTCTTGTTAGCTCAGGAGTTAGTAGCCGATATCGGGAAATCAAATCGGGGTGGCAATGTGGTCATCAAGTTAGACATGATGAAGGCTTATGATAAAGTCTCATGGCCCTTTCTCCTACAGGTGCTACGATATTTCGGATTCAGTGAGACCTGGATAGACATGATTTGGCGCTTAATATCGAATGTGTGGTTCTCGGTACTTGTTAATGGTGGTTCAAACGGCTTTTTCAGATCTTCACGGGGTTTACGGCAAGGGGATCCAATTTCACCAGCCTTATTCGTTATCGGAGCTGAGGTGCTGTCTAGAACCCTCAACACGCTACCCACACAAAGAGGATTTACTCCATTCAAAGTTCCTCCTCATTGTTCTATAATTACGCATTTGGCATTCGCCGATGACGTGATTATCTTTTCCAGTGGGGCCAAGTCATCCCTACGTCTGATTAAACGGGTTTTGGATGATTATAATGAGGCATCAGGTCAGCGAATCAACCCTCAGAAGAGTTGTTTCCTTACTCATCCACGGGCACCATCTCAGAGGGCAGCGGTTGTTAACCAGATACTAGGGTATAATAAACGCGACTTTCCAATACGGTACCTTGGTTGTCCCTTGTATACCGGAAGGAGCAAGAAGGTTTACTATACGGATATATACAATGCGGTGGCGAATCGGATTTTGAGTTGGAAAAACCAGATATTATCGCTAGGAGGCAGGGTGGTGTTGATTCAGAGCGTGTTATCCTCTATGCCAATTCACTTGCTGGCAGCCGCGTCCCCTCCAAAAGGGATGTTGATGGTCATAGAGAAATTGTTCGCCAAGTTCTTGTGGGGATCTTCGAATTTCGGGGATAAATTCCATTGGATACGTTGGGCAGATTTGTGTCGGCCGAAGGATGAAGGGGGTGTAGGCCTGCGGGGTTTGAAACAGGTCTACGACTCATTTTCCATTAAACTCTGGTGGAAATTTCGACAACAACAATCATTATGGGCAAAGTTTATGTCCCAGAAGTATTGTGCAGGTCATCACCCTTGTCTTGCTGATATTGGGCATCCGGGATCCCAAGTTTGGCAGAGGATGGTTACAATGCAGCGTTTTGGGGAGGATAATATTAGCTGGGTAGTTCGGGAGGGGGCTTTGGACTTTTGGCATGATAATTGGATGGGGTCAGGTGCGCTTTGTGACAAGGTTGAGGTCTTCCATGATCATTCGGTGGTTGATTTTGTAGATCGGCGGGCTTGGAATGTGGACATGCTCCATCAATTCTTGGATGGAGAATTGGTTACGCAGGTTTTGGAGATTGACCCTCCTACCGATAGGGGAAATGATACAATGGTATGGGCATTAACGAACTCGGGTGTTTTTTCCACTGCATCGGCTTACTCATTGATCCGTCAATCCAATGACAATTCTTGGCTTTTTGGTCGTATATGGCAGCAGGGTCTTCCAGTCAAGGTTTCTTTCTTTATGCTGCGACTACTACAGGGGAGGCTCCCTCTTATGGATCGCCTAAAGAGGTTTGGGGTTTGTGGCCCATCTAGATGCTTGTGTTGTCAGAATCCCCAGGAGGAGGATTTGAATCATGTGTTTTGCTCAGGAGAAGGGGCACGATTGGTCTGGCGACACTTCGAGAGTACTGCTGGTGAGTTTAGTGGGGTGCATACGGTGCGTCATATGGTGTGGTCTTGTTGGTTAAGGAGGGGGACTAATGATCGTGTAAAGTTTTTGCATAATATACTTCCTTCGGTGGTATGCTGGGTTTTATGGAAGGCTAGGAATGAAGGGGTGTTTGAAGGTCGGAAGATGAGGATCAGGCCTACGGTGAATCGGATTGTTCAGTTTCTGCATGATTTCCTTCAGTCACGGTTCCCGGGGGTGCAGCCTTCTGCCCCTACATGGGAAGGGTTGCTTCTCGAATTAGGTAGTCATCAAAGGCGGATGGTTATTAGGCCAGTTTACTGGGTAACTCCACGTAGAGGCTATAAGTTGAATTCAGATGGATGTTCTCGGGGGAACCCAGGAAGGAGTGGGGGGGGTGGGCTTGTGCGGGATAGTCGAGGAAATTTTGTATTCGGCTACGCGGAGCCCTTCGGGGTGATAACCAGCATGCAGGCGGAACTTCGAGCGTTGCTATGGGGCGTTAGACATTGTGTGATTCGAGGGTGCTTGGAGTTACACTTAGAGGCGGATTCTCTCACCCTGGTTCACATTGTTCAAGGGACTAGTGCTTGTCCTTGGCGTTTACAGAGAGATCTGGATGAGTTGATGATGTTCAAGCAATATTTCACATCGATCACACACTGCTACAGGGAAGCAAACGCACCTGCAGATCATTTGGCAAATTTTGGTGCTGATTCTAGTGCAGGTCATGTGTTTAATACATTCTCAGAATTGCCGCAATTGGTTAGGGGGGCTATTAGATTAGATCGATTAGGATTTCCTACGTTTCGTACACGGTGTCTGGCATGAATTGGAATAAGAAGCAGAAAAGGCCAATGAAGGTGAAAATGGCGGTTAGAAGGACATCAAGGGAGGAAGATTGACTGCTAAAATCTTCAAAGATCATCCTTCAGATTCACTGGAAGACATCCTGATATGGAAAAATGAAGATTTAATCTTAATTTCAGTTTTTAAATGCTTAAACTTTCACTAGCTTGTAAATTTATTGTCAAATTGTGGTTTGATGGCAGGGAGTTTCGTCCTTTTTTAAGGGGAAACTCTGCCGAAATTTTTATAAAATAATAAAATAAAATAAAAAAAAAAAAATTGTAGAAACTTTAGTTGTATTTTGCTTAAAACCCTTTCAACACATAACGTCAATATTATAAGTAAATGCGTAATTTCTTGCAAATAATCTTTGTAAAATTGTTCACAAGTACATTCTCGAATTTAATTGTAAGATTTAATTGTAGAAACTTTAGTTGTTCACAAATAAGTAAGATTTAATTGTAGAAACTTTAGTTGTATTTTGCTTAAAACCCTTTCAACACATAACGTCAATATTATAAGTAAATGTGTAATTTCTTGCAAATAATCTTTGTAAAATTGTTCACAAGTACATTCTCGAATTTTCAACCTTAACTCTTTATGGACCAAAGGAGACAATTACCCTAGTACATTGAAAGGATTATTCTATAATCTATACAATATAGATAAAACCCCTTGTTAGATCATTTCATGCTAAATGTTTTTAGCATCTTATCTATGTACTTTGAAAGGTTTAGCAATCATAATCTATCACCATAGATCTTTATTCCAAAAGAGAAGATTGCTTTAACATGGAGAAAATCTTGGATAGCTATGCCTATAATTTTGAAGCATGTGTATACATTTTCCATATATCATATGTCAACTACAAATATAACTAGAAAAATATAATAGCTCTCACTAAATCACACACTAATACAAGGACCATCCATATTTTTCATAAAATCAAAGTCTTTGATTATCTCATAAAAAACGATTAAACTTTTAGAAACTTGCTTTATTGGCATATAAGATGTAGAAACCTTTAAACTATGTCACATACACAACCATTTATTGTCTCCATTTAAGGAAAGTAGTTTTTGCATCTATTCACCATGCTAAAACTCACAGTTAAAGCAAATAAGTAAATTTAAATGAATTTAAACTTATTAACTAAAGAGAAGGTTTCTTTAAAGATATTTACTTATCTTTAATGGTAACCTTTCTACCAATCAAGCTATAGAGTTAACATTTTACCTTCCATATTGTTCTTTACTTTAAAGACTCTCTTGCACCTAATTGGTCTTCTATACCCTTAGATGGATTAACTAAGGTCAGTATCTTTTATCAAATATAGAATCCATTTTAGATAAGTTTTATCCATGCATTTGTTCAACTTACTTTGGTAGTACTTAAAACTCTTTCAAATTTTAAGTTCTATCTTACTCCCACTACTTTATCTTGAATGAACCATTTATCTAAAAAATAATAGTTTTAGACAAAAAAACTTTTACTCTTGGAGAAGATAATAGTATTCTTGGAGAAAATAAGGAAACTCCAACTGATAAGTTAGAAGAAATCAAACTAATGAAACAATGAGAGCCATTTTTCTCTTCTTCTTTGTGGTCGATTCTTCTTTTGCTTTATTTCTCAAGAACACTCTACAGAAGATTTTGATCGGATCTCAACTCCAACTTGTCTGGTTATAGATGCCCACTCCATAAGTAGGGTCGCCCAATTTTTAACAAAATTTTAAATTTTTAACACTCCACATCTCATATGGTATACATTAAACAAATATATACATGGACCAAGATTCAGTGTATAGGAGGCAATTATCTAGGATAAACCCCAAGACTATTTTGATAAATTTGCATGGTGCATCTTATCTCATAAGATATAATTTGTTATCTAAATTATTCAATAATAATCAAGATATATTGGAGAAATCATTTTACTTCAGAATCTGATTCTCTTTTAGATAGCTTTGAAACCTTTGGACCAAGTATACTCCACCTTGATCAAATCAGGTGTTCTAATATTTCCACCAATTTATTTTTCTACTTTGTACTTAAACTTTCTAACTTCTCAAAATTTTGGATTTGTACTTCAAAAAAAATATATATATATATATATCCATTTTGAGTAGTTATTAGTAAAAGTAGCAAAGTATAAGAAATCATCATCTCTAACATGAATTGTTAATATCTTACATACATCATAATGTATGAATTTTAATAATTCTTTAAACCTTTTTCATATAAATGCCCGATTTAGTCTTATACCAATGAATAAGATTCACATGTCTCAAATGATTCATAATCAATTGACTCAACTTATCATATAATTTGAAAGTGTATTTCTTATTCATAAAACTAAATTCATAAATACCAAAGATAAGATGGTTTTAAGTCATCTAACATTATACTGAGAAATGGACCTTTTGGAAATTAATAACACTTATTAAGTTCTAAAATAAGTCCACTAGATTAAGAAAGATAATTTATTACTATACTTTAATGAAGTAACTTTTACTCATAAAAGTAGATACTTATTATCCTTCTTTTCAATTTACTTCTTTTAAGACATAATACATCGAATATGCGGTATCTCATATCAAAGAACTTAACTTAGAAGTAAATATACTTGTTAATCTCAATTATAAACTTTAACTTAAAATGAAACTTTCAAAAAGTTACATTTTATTTAAGTTAAGACCATGCAATGAAAGTTTACACCATAAGGCTTATTCTTTAAAATCTTTTAACTTATCAACTCTTTATAATTGATTCACCTTATCAACTCTTGATAAGTGATATCCTTTTAGTCAACACTTGACTTATAATCCATAATAAAACTTGACTGAGCTAATTTTTTAATATAGTGAATCACTCTCTAATAAATCAATATTTATTTATAGCAAATTTATCATCTAGTAATGGAATTATTTTTCAAAGATTGCATATATTTTAAATCTTGATTATCCATCATTCAACTCTTGAAATGTCTAATTATGTTGAAAGAAAATGAAACCTTTATAATACAGGAGATTTAGGAAGCATTTATGATACACTATCATCATCCCTTTTATGCTTACTATAAGCATTTACTATTAATTGCATTCCATTTTTCATAGTTGAAAATATTAAGGTTTTAAAAGATATAGTTAAATTTACTTGAGAATTTTTCTCAATTTTCTTGCCAATTCAAGAAATTGGAAATATTAAATATATTGAGAATAATATGCAATTACTCATAATTTCTACAATAGGTAGTAAAGATAAAAAAGAATTTCTCTTTATTTAAAAACAAAACCATGTCAAAATGACATAAAATAAGTTTGGTTTTGCTCTCACTATATTATTCAAATCTATAACCCTCTAGTATAGATTCAGGAATTTCAAAAATTCCTAATAGGTTAGAATCCCATTTCGTTATTTTGATGTTGAGTGTGCTCAATAAACCAAAATAATTTCAACAGATAGGTACTTATTACCAATTACAACTCTTGTAACTTCTAAATATTTGAGTTATCAACTCTTGATAAATCATATCATCTATGTTACCCAACCTTTGCCTCTAAAACTTTATGACTTTGAGTGTACTCAACAAGTCACAAGTTTTAGTTAAGTCATACCTATTATTCTGAAATATCATCTCATAGTTAAAACTCCTCGTGGTAGAGCAATCTTGAGTGTACTCAACAAGTTAACTCGAACATGATTTCATTTTAACTATAATAATGGAAAGCAACTTAAGTCTTGACTTAATATTTAAGTTGAGGGATTTTAGACATAATATATCTAACGATTTATCTACATAAATAAATAAACCTATAATTAAACATGGATGATTATGGACTTTATTCCTAGACTAGTTTTCTTGAGGCAAAAAGAAATTAGATGGTCAAACTAAGGGGCACATGACATTTCCATGTCCTGTACGCCTTTTGTATGTCCGCCATAGTGGAATTGGTGCCATCTCCATCTCCTTTGTACAGTATAAATGTAAATCTAATCTAAAACATTTTAGATCCTCACCTTCTCCCTATCCCTAATATAGTACATTACATGATGTTGAGAGAAATCTTGAGCTACATTCAAGGGTAATGAGATGAGAAGAGCATTTACATTGAGAGTAGTTAGAGAAGGTAGGACACGCAAGCCTAGGCCTATTTCAAAAATACCAATATCAAACCATACATATATTCAACCATTCACAATTATATTGGTCTAAATCCATAACCATTCATCATGCATTCACATAATAAAATATTAAATGAAAGCACAATAAAGTATTTATTTAATTCTAATTATGAATCATTACATGCTCAAACTTTAAACCATTTAAAGTTTCAATTCTTGAAGTTTATTTTATTTTATTTTAAAATTATGGAAAACACTTTCAAATCTCATTAGAACAATTTCCAATGTTTTAAAATCATGAACGCAAGTTCCATAATTCGATTACAAGCTCAAGGCAAAATTAGGATTTTCTAGTCCAACTAGAATTTCTTAGTTCACTTAGATTTGTAAATTTTCCTTTAAACCATTTTAGAATTTCAAATGCTAACTTTAGGGAACTTTTCTAATTTAATCTCATTAAATTAGAAAGTTTCTAAAAGTATTTGAATACTTACCAAATTTAATCTTATAAAATTTGGAAGTTTTTAAAATTGGTTAACTTTCTCAATTTTAGCCTCACTAAGATTTAGTAAGTTTTCAAAACTTAATTCAACAACTTCTTGTTCAATTTGAATTTCTAAAATTTTCAGAAAAGTACAATATTTCTAATCATATTAGAAATATAGGAACTTTCCATGTTATTTTAGAAACCTATACAAAAAAGAAAATCAATGACTTAACTTGAAGTTAGATTATAAACATTGAAAAAATTTCAAGAATGATTTTAGGAAAAGTTTTCAATCGACTTTGTTCATATTAAAAAACTTATTCCAACTTCAAGAATAGCATATAATTGTGATCTCATCAACTATCCATGAC